GGTCAGAAACATTTAGTGTAAGGAATGTGTGATTAGATCATAAGCACAACCTCCAATTTTATAGACATCCTGAAGTGGTAGACGAAGGGGTTTGTTGGCAGTGCGCACTGGTGGATACAAGGAGTCTAGCACTTCCAACAGTGTCTTGCCACTTGAAAAGCCATCCTTCCTCTTGATCTTCCAGCCTTTAAACCAAGACATCTAGCAGAAAGTATTCAGTACACAGTTACCTACAGCCCTTACATTGTGGAAACAAAAGACCATGTTTAAGAACTTTGGATTTAAAGAGAATAACTGGCTTACCTTCTGTGAAGGTGCAAGCATGTTGTCACCACCCCAACCAGATAGGGGAACAAAAGGCACTGCAGTTGGGTCATAACCAATCTTTTTGATAAAAACAGTTACATTTTTCACTACCTCCTCATAACGTTTCTGGCTGAACGGTGGCTCAGTGAGGTCCATTTTGTTGACACAGACTACAAGCTGCTTGACTCCTAGGGTGTAGGCCAGCAAGACATGTTCCCTTGTCTGACCATTGCGGGATATGCCTGCCTCAAACTCACCCTTTGCTGCAGAGACAACCAGCAGAGCAGCATCAGCCTACAGATGAATTAAAAACCATTTAACATCATGGCACTTAAATCTGTAAAAGTCTACATCCTGAAACATTTCTTAGATTAGCAACACTCGTTACCTGTGAGGTTCCTGTAATCATGTTCTTAATGAAGTCACGGTGACCAGGTGCATCAATTATTGTGAACACATACTTCTGAGTGTTGAACTTCAACAAGGAAATATCAATGGTGATGCCACGCTCTCTTTCTGCCTTAAGTTTGTCAAAGACCCAGGCATACTTGAAGGAACCCTTCCCCATCTGGGGAAGAAAAAAAAGTCACAATTCACCTAGATAAAATATGATTTAAAAAAAAAAAAGAAATAACCAACATACAGGCACCAACCTGGGCTGCAGCCTTCTCATATTTCTCCAGGGTTCTTGGGTCAACACCACCACATTTATAAACAAGATGGCCAGTGGTGGTTGATTTCCCACTGTCAACATGACCAATGATGACCAGATTGATGTGGATTTTCTCTTTCCCCATCTCAGAGTTTATTCAGTTACGAGGGCAAATTAAGCCGTTAACTCCGTTGAGTGTTTCCTTGAGGTACACCAAAAGTGTTAAACGGAACAAACCTAACGCTTCGATTAAATAGAGCACTATAATGCCTGTCAGGTGCGCTTATATCCGCGCTGATTAACCAGTCTGTCAAAAACAGACACGCCCATCCGAGCTTGTATTAATAGTGCACAGGTTCCCAACCTTGGTCCTGGAGTACTCCATATCCTACACATAGTGCTTTCCCTCTCAAAACACCTGATCCAAGCAGCTAATTAACAGCTCCTGCTGGTGTGAAGTGGGTGTGTTAGACCAGCAGGACTGAGTTGGGAACCTGTGAAATAGTTTATTAAATTTATGGTACAGTTTACTATTTTTAAACACAGGCTCCCAGCCCTGGTCCTGAAAAACACTGACAGGTTGCAGCACCAGGGCTGGGAGCCTGTGATGTAGCCCTAGATCTATTTTAACTTCTGTAATATGTCATCTTGGTTGCTGCATCCACGAGGTTGCTTGTATACCTACCATAAAAGACCTGGCTCATTACCAAGCCTTCATGAAGTCCAAATGTGCGTGTTAAGCGTTGGGGGAAACTACGCTGTGCGGCGCATGCGCACTCCAGGAGCACGCTTGGGGAAACACGGTTCTAAATAACGGGACTTATCAGGTGTGGCGTTCGCGCAATTGCTCGTTTAAACCACAGGGGGTAGTAGACCATCATCCATGTGTTTGCTCTGAACGCCAGTAGCAGGGCAGATGAGCAGATATTCAGCACGAGTCCTTATTTACTGTAAACAGTCGTAGTCAGTACCTGAGAGAGAGAGAGAGAGAGAGAGAGAGAGAGAGAGAGAGAGACTTTACTGTTATGCTTTTTTAATGGCTCGTTGCTTTTGAACCTGTTCATGATAGTGCGATGACGTTTCACCAACCCGGAAATAGCAGTTAGACAGCTAAGAGAGAGAAGTAAATCACTCTTCCCGGAGCTCAGGCGTCGGAACTGGACTTCTAAACGTTTCTCGCACATTTACACGTGAAGGTATGGTTCCTTTTCAAGTTTGATCCTTTATTCCGGTGACGAGGTCGTTGGCGGTGTTGGGGTTTGGATAAACAGTGGGATTGAATTGGGAAGTGTTCAAGGCGAGGCAGCTCCAGTGAATGAAGCAGCGTGTGGCTGAGGTCCTGCCTGTTGAGAAGGCATGGCCAACTTGTGAAATCTGGCGCTTTAACAATCTTATGTAGAATTGTAGGCTTTTCAAGCTGTGGTTTGGTGCAGATCGACACTAGAGGTCTACTTGGAGAGCTCACATAGCGTTGTTTTGTCCTAGATAATAGCATAACGGTAAGCACAGTAAACAGGCTGTTGCTGTTCCTGAATGGAAGTCTGAGCTTACTGTTAGGCAGCACATGTGAGTTTTATTTAGTAACTGGAAATTACTTTCATCGAAGACAGTCCAAGTCATGTCAAACACAGGTGTGTGTGTGTGTGTGGGGTAACTAAAATGACTGGTATTAAGTCTTCATGTACTAATAGAAATTCATGACTATACTTCTTCCTTTCAGTGGACATCAGTTAAGCAGATCAAGAATGACCTGTTGGCAAAAGCAGCAGCTCTGTAACACTTCTCATCTTTACATTCTCCCTTTCCGGAGACCTGAACGTGAACCTGGGCAGTGTAGTGGCTTTGTGGATAACATTACAATGTGGTTAAGCTAGAGTGGGTCTAGGTTTTAAGATCTGTGCTGTACTGCATTCAATAAATGAAAAAAGATGATATTATTATTATCATCATCATCATCATCATCATCCTTATTCATTGTGTGATTAAAAAACAAAACCCTGACTATTATCTCTGGTCCTTTAGATCAGTCAGCTTCTAGACATTTTATATTTAAGTTTTTAGAGCAGTTAGATTTTTATATTTTATCAGACATAAGGACATTATATTAAAAGCCATAAAATGATAAATAAACAGTTCAGAATTTATAGTAGTCTAATTAGTGTTATCCCGACTGCCACGTTATTTGCTGCACCTTCTTCCCCTTTTATGGTAAGGTAAGGCGTTGAAAGTGGAAGCTAAAATCACACAGGAAGTCCTTGCGCTGGTGGTTATGAGACGTTATGTGTCAGCATGCGTGTGCAGCATAGCCAAATTGACTACTGCTCCCAGCATGGCCATTTGTTCTGTAAGGCATCCCATCTGTGCGAGTGGGAGGATGCTGAATGCTTGCGTTTCATTCCTGCTACATCAGGTGGCATCATAGAAAAACTGGGCATGCTGCCTTTCCTTCTGTAGACTAGCATGTTTTGACAGGCTTTCGGCGTGTAAGATTTTGCCGTCACTGTTAAAGTGAATGGTGTGCATATTGGAACAGAGGCCGCATGTTAGGACTGAACCATTGAAGTAACGCTGAAATAATGACTCATTGGATCAATATGTAGAATTACCATTGCTTTTGGTGTTGTTGGTATGACATCTGTTTGATATTCATTTACATTACATGCTTTTAACACAAGGCAGAATCAAATCCTACCACAGAGCCGAGAGGTTAGGGAACTTGCTCAACAGTCATAGGGATTAAACTCACGATATTCTGCCACTAGCAAAGAACCTTAAAGGAATACTCCACTGTCTTTCTCAAATTAATGTCAACTTCATTGTGTCTGTAGCCTGTGTATGATTTCCACTCACAAGAATTTCAACATGTTGAACAACATGGGAAAACCCTTTTAGAAGCAACTCATTTATATTAGAAGTCTAAGTAGGGAAGTGGTAGCTCAGACATTGGACTCCTGATCGGAAGGTTAAGAGTTCAAATCCTAGCACTGCCGAGCTGCCACTGCTGGGCCCTTGAGCAAGGCCCTTAACCCTCAACTGCTCAGCTGTGTAAATGAGATAATTGTAAGTTGCTCTGTATAAGGGCGTCTGCCAAATGCCATAAATGTAAGTGCAGTTGCTGAATGATATCAAATAAACATGTATGCATATTCTTCGTAGGGTCTGTGTAATTCATCCTTTCAGTTGCACCAGTGTGGAAAAGTTGAAGAAATGTTCATCTAGGATCAACTAACTAACTAACTTAGCTTGCTATCTAGATTTGATTTATTATCATCTTTTATAATAGCTCATATCTTGCTTGCCTGGGAAATGAATTAACTTGGCTAAAAAAGTAGTAGTTGGCATAACTGAACCCCCAATCTGATTATTTGAACTTATTCTATCTAAAGCTTGTCTTCGATATGTTCGCATGTTGTGTTTGCACCCTCAGCAAAATGACAAGGCGTCTTTGGATAACATTTTGGCTATGAGCTGAGGTGTTCTCTTGCAGCACATGTAAAAGTTGTTATCTGAGTCTGGAGACATCTTTATTTTTGGCAGCCTCCGAGTTGACCCAAGCAAGTCGCCAACACATGTTGATGCACTGCACATGAGCGCTGAGGTGCTGCTGAAGACAAGAGGTCAAAGCAGGATTAGCAGAGCTCAGTGTGGTTGCGATGTGGAGGTACTCTCTTCTACAAAAAATTAGGAGTGTGACTGCTGCTCTAACCAGACAGCCTCAGTTAAACAGTATGACAATCTTGTGCTAATCTCATAAATTTATACTTGCCCTTAAATTTAAAAGTAGTTTTTGGTTATAAAGTTAAAGTAAAGTGACTTGTGGCCAAGTATGGTGACCCATACTCACACTTTGTGCTCTGCATTTAACCCATCCAAGTGCACACACACACCGTGAACACACACCTGGAGCAGTGGGCAGCCTTTTTTTACTGTGGCACCCGGGGAGCAGTTTGGGGTTCGGTGCCTTGCTCAAGGGTCTCACCTCAGTCGTGGTATTGAGGGTGGAAGAGAGCGCTGGTCATTCACTCCCCCCACCTACAATCCCTGCTGGACCTGAGACTCGAACCCACAACCCACCGTCTGGTTACAAGTCAGACTCTCTAACCATTAGGCCACGACTGCCCCAACAAATGTCTAAATGCAGTACCCTGACTTTCAGGATTCCTTTAATGCTATATAGATAAACAAATGAAGAAAGAAACAACCTTTTAAGCAGTTTTCTGTGTTATATTTCCACACCAAGAACTTAGCATAAAGTATAAGGAGTAGCATAAAGCATTTGCATCCATGAAAATCTCTGTATGTATGGGGAAATAAATAAATAAATATATATATATATATAAAGCACTTTTGAACATAAATGTTATATTTGGTTTGTTTATGTTTCTTTTCTCAGTGCTCTTCTTTTTACCTTTACTAATTTGCTTCCTCTTTAAACTCACTGTTCATATTTGAATTCAGATGTTTTTATGACTTTTGTCAAAAAATGATGCTTTGACTCTTAAATGCCCTTAAATGTCTCAAAACCATACAAGCATTTTGCAAATCCTCATATAAAACCACTCTCTTAAAAAAATTACAGCAATTACAACCAAAACATGTTATTAGACAATCACACTGGAGCTTCCACTTACCTGGTGGTCTAACCTAATGAATTTATTTGTCCAATCTTGCATATGAACATCGTCAACAAACCACGTTGTTCACTCTGAACTGATTCATTGAGGCCAGAGCTGTCAAAGCGTATGCCTGAATCATTGAGGTTTACATCAACTACAGAACATTCAGTAGAAACCTATTGTTTTCTTGGGTGAGGGGAGGCTTTTTTCTACTCGTCCTTTTCTTCTGTCCCTGGATAAATTCATTATGCTTTCTTAGCCCTTTAGGTCTGTCTCTCCCTCCTTGCTTTATATTGTCTATAGAATATGGGGAGTTCAGATCTGACTTTTGTAGGCATTTATATTCTGTCTTTTGTTTTGGAACATAAACTGTCAGGTCTGAAATTATAGTTAGTTTTATGACAGAGACTTATTTTGACATTTTTATAAATAGGAGAGAGGGTGGCATGGTGGCGCAGCGTGTAGTGTTGTGACCTCTCAGTTCCAGGGTCCCTGGTTTAATCCTAAACTTGGGGTACTGTCTGTGTGGCGTTTCACATGTTCTCCCTGTGTTTGTTTGGGTTTCCTCTGGGTTTTCTGGTTTCTTCCCACTGTGCAAAAATATACACACAGGCAGATTTGCTGTGCAAAGGTGCCATAGGTTTGAATGAGTGTGTGAATGTGTTTGTGAACGTTTGCCCTGTGTTGGGCTGACGTGGTGTGATCCGGGCTGAATTCTCCCTCCTTGTGCCCAGTGTTCCTTGTTGTATGACCATGCTGCCATATTTACGATTGAAAGATTCGGCAGTTACTGGCGGGTATCAAAATGCCTTCGATGTGCTGCGCTGTTGGATGTGACAATCCATTCCCTGGAGTAACACCCTGATCACCGGAGAAGATGGTTAGCAATCAAGTGAAAAACATTGGATACCAACAAAACAGTCCGTTCTCTGTAATGAGCACTTTATACCGGGTAAGTAGGCTGGCTAGTTACTGGCTATGGAAGATGATGTTAGCTAGGTGGCTATTAGTATCTGACTAAACTAGAGTGTTGCAAATATTTTTAGATGTTTTATGTTAAACATTAGTAAGAAGCTTAGAATTAACAAAAAAAAATGTTATTTTGTACAGAATAAAAAGAAGCGTAAAGAAAAGCTCTGTAGTGTTTGTCCTGGTGTGGTCAGTGGCTTTTTCACTGATTTATGTCTTAAAATGTGATGAGAGTTTGTTGTGAAATGCGAGCTTAGCGGTGGAGAGAATGTAATGAGAGTTAACTCTGATAAATGTGGCTTGGGCAATAGATAACTAGGTTTTAGGTATTGAGAAATGTTCCAGTGTGTAATAGCAATGTCTTACCAAATGTGTAGGACCTCACTACTTAAAAATAGCTATAAAAGCCTACAGCTTTAACTTATCCCTCCCCACAGTTTTGCCTAATTACAATATGTTACGTGTGGCGTCACACCCTCGTCAAGGGGAAATTTCAGCCTGTCAGATCCCTTTCTTTATTCACAGCATCAGAGCAGGGATACAGTGTTGTTCTTGGTATGTTACTCTAGGGCTTTATGTTTCATATTACATATTATCTGTAGTATTTTGGCCCACCTGTTGTCATCTAATCCAGTTACATTTTAGGGCATGTGACATATTATGTTGGTTAATCTGTCCTTGTGTAATAAAAGTATTTCTGAAATGAATTTCGAACAGATTTGGCCCATACGCTTCCTTAGTCTTTATGACCGAGTTGTCCATTGCCGTACATGTTGTTTTCTTCTTGCTCTACGTTCACTCTGGGAAGTGACAAGTCACGTGTCTCGTGGGCTTGTTGCGACCTTTATTATTGTTGCATGTGGGAGCACACTGTCCAGCGTTCTTCAGTTTTGATGAGAACAGTAGTAGACAAAATGTAATCGCTTCTAAAGGTAACTAGTGAAACACAAATTAGACTGATCAGTGTGAAAAGGTTATATGATTTACATGCTACATGCTTTGTACGAGCTTCTTGGGCATATGAAACTAACCGTACTTGCTCCATACGCTCACCGGAAGCACGAGTGATCTCTGCTTCTTCCTTCTAAGATTCATTTTTTGCTCATAATGTCTCTACACACATTAATGAGAGGTCATATATGACAGGATAAGAAGAAACTACAGTTATACGTTTTCCTTCTATTTTCGCACGGCAAACCGTAAATCGGAATAATTACAGGTAGAAACCAAAGGTGTGAGTGGGAAACCGAAAAATGTTGCACCACATGCGACATAGTATAGTCCTTTCTGCAGACGTTATAAACTGTTGACTTCTTCTAAGACACACCCAGTAATATTATTTGGTCTATTTGTGCTCTTTAGTTTGGATATTTTTTACTCCATTTTCTCCCAATTTGGTCATTTGCTAGCTCTTCCCTGTCACATGGCAGCTACCACAACCAGTGAAGGTGAAGGCTATCACGTGATTCCTCTGACACATGTGAAGCCAACTGCTGCTTATGCTGCGTAAGGCAGCATAACACAAGGCAGAGGAAAACACTAACTGCCCCCTTCAACATACTGTATGTGAGTTCACAGACACCCACAATTGGTTAGTGTTGCTCGAGCACAGACAGCTGTGACATCGTCAGGATTTTGCTCACGGTGGGTCTCATTTGTCAGACTGGATACAAACGAATTTATTCGTAAATCGTTCCTATGAGCGTTTACACAAGAAGTTTGGTATTCATGAAAATCCCGTAAAATTTGGAAAAATGTTTGAATGCTTTTCATGCTCCTGAGTGTGTGTAAATTTATGCTTAAGAAGACTAACTAATGTAAACTTTGACTTGATAGACTTCACATCATATCATTATCATGGATTACTGCACTTTCATATATGGAACATACTGTCGGTTTTAAAGTACGTATTTATATTATGTTTACAGCATTTAGCAGATGCCCTTATCTGGAGCAACATATAGAAGTGCTTTGAAGTCTCTGTCAAAAACCACATCCTCGTGCTAGGTCAGGGACTAGTACCTGAGAGTACCATCGAGAAAAGGTTGTGAAAACCAGTCATTTTATATCACTGGCATTAATTAAATATTATGAAACATAAAGAAAGTGAGCCAAGGCACCCTTAAATTAAGACAAATAAAACTATTCATTCAAATATACATAAAGAGAAAAAGAGGGCCAGTCTGTCTGCTCACAGCTCTAAGCCATAAACAAATGCCTCAGCTGACAGAGGATTTAGCACTTGCTTATTATTATTATTAACGTTATATATTATTAAATATTTTTATTGGTATAGAGGTGAGTCAAAGTAACTTCCACTTCTGCCTTTCAGCCTTTACTCTCATCGTTCATTTCATGCTCTCAGCTGTATGTGCACCAATAAATGCAAATGATCTGTGTCAGGAACACGCTTTGCACTTTACGGGTAAACTTATGTGCGCAACTACATAGAAAGTCAGCTTTTCCAAAACTTTTAGTAAAACTGGTGAAAAATTTTAGATCAGATTGACTTACACAAACATTTACACACAACGCTACTAAAAGATTGATAAATGAGGCCCAGTGTGTCTCCAGTGTGTACTTAAATATTCTAAATATTAAATATTCTACAATTCTCAAGAATAATCTGAACGTGTTACATTTTTTATAAAATTTTCTAGTAACAGCAGCTCTGACAGTAGTTCCAGCTGTAATTCACGTTTATTTTAATATACTTGTAATACATTGTTTCCATAGTAACAGCTAATTCACAGGAACTTGTATGGTGGATGGTCCACATGATCTAAGACTAACAGGCTAATAAACGGATTAAAATGTGTTGTTCTTTAGCAAGGTTAAAGTTTAATTGTTGATATGGTGAAGCTTTCATAGAGATAAAGCTGTTCACTTAAGCCGATCATCTACCTCTATCATAGAGATAAAGAGATAAAACTGTTCATTTAAGTTTTCAGCAGGAACGTTTGAGGACAGAGGACATGGTCGTTTCTAACTCACATCATGAGCTGAATTCTTTTTCTTATTAAACAGAAGAGAGAAGTAAAGAGAGGCTGGTGGGGGAAGGACAGTTTATAGCTGCTGTATTGTAAGTGACAACCGTAACTAACTTGTTTAGTGGATGTTCCACAGCATTAAACGTAACTGTAGAAAATGTCATTTTGCCTTGATTGCCACATCACGCATTCATTCTAATTGCATGGTTAGTGGACTGCAAGGTTGGTAAATAAATCTGAAACCAAATTTGATAAATAAATTGAAACTGAAAAGGTATACCTTTCTACCTACCTAGGTACAGCAAAGCACTCTTCCTGTGCAGGAGTGATGCCCATAAGCGCTACTGAAAACACAACACTGAATAAAATAATGGCAAGAATCAGGACATGTGTGAGCCTCAAACTTGATTTCACCATTGTGCCTTGTAGAATATCCTCACATTACACATGTGCTATAGAGCAGTGTGATGAGCACTTCCTGGTAGAGCATGTTGCATAGCAACATGTGGAGACATCTTAAGTCGGCTCTGGCACACGGTATGAG